ACAAAGTCAAAACAATCTGAGAGGAATATCAGGCATAGGGATCCACCTGTGTCTGAAGCAAACGTTTGGTATGACCTCCTCCATATCTATATACATAGAAGACTTTCCGTCCAACATCAATGTACTAAACAGCTCACGTGCGTGAACCTAAAGAAAGAAAAAACAGACAAAAAGAAGAAAAGGAAAGAGATACTAAAAGAAGCAGAACAGCTTAAGAGTCCAAAAAGAGTAGATCCGTCCCCGACCAGATAGACCAACATCTACTTAAAGGAGAACTATGGAGTCTGGGCTTTTCCCCATAGTTCTCCTTAGGGTAACGGGAGGACACAAACTAGCGTCCTCCCGTTACCCTAAGCTCAGTATACCGCGAGCAACAGCTAGCGGTATACTGAGACGCCGGAGCGGATCCCGACATCGATGTCGAGATCCGCCCAGCTGTGTGAGTGACAGCTGGCTCTGCCTATCTAGAGGCAGAGGCAGCTGTACCCGCCCCCTCCCCCGTCCATTCCGCCAGTCAGCGCAGGCGGGGAGGGGGAATCCAGCCCCTCCCCTGTCACGGCAGAGAGCCGTGACAGGATCGAGAAGTGAGCGAACGCCGATCTACTGAGCCGACCTGTGACAGTCTCATTGTCACAGGTCGGCTAGAACTATGAGGTGAGTGAGAAGGACCCGCCTCATAGTTCTCCTTTAAACATTAAAAATAGAACCCAAAAAAAAGAACTGAACAATTGTACAATGGAAGTTACCCGGTTTCCAGCAACCCTGTATATAACATCCAGGGGGTCCAGCTCAATTCAAATAATTTTTCAGTATCTTGGAGGATGCTGTGAAGTTTCTCATGGACCATGATGTATTGTTTATTTTATTCATTTATATATGTCCAACAAATTCCACAGAGCTCTGTGGAGTACATCAACCATTCACAACAATTTCTGTTCCAGCGGTGCTGGCAGTCTATGCTCCTATCATATCGGGGAGGACACATTATTTAATTCAGGAGCTGCTTTGTCCATCTAGGATCCAGCAGGATTTTTTAAGGAGTCAGCTCTATTGACAACCACCAGAGAAAATTTCAAAAGTTAGGCACCAGCTGTACCTTTTTTAGGAGCATTGGCTACATGGCTCCTGGAATGTATCCAGCCCTGTAATTGTGCAATCACACACGCTTGGGCCAGTTTGGTCAAAGTCGGTTAACTTACCATTAAGAAGACAGGGCAGATGGAGGAGCCCTATATAGACACAGTCTTCACTCGAGACTTGAACCCTGGGCTACAAGACAGTAGTGCTAGCTACCATGCCGGCATTTAAATGAGTTATCTTTACATCTGTAAATGGCGGAACTCCTAAACTGACCACGTGTGAGGACCTTATCCAGAAATGAAGGTCGCTATTTACAATCATGGTGAGCACCAGATTATTAGTATCAGCTATATCGGAAGATATAAATCAACTTCAACCAATCACATGCAATTCCAATCACCCAGAAAGATTGTTTGCATGCCTTCTACTGGCTGATGTTCATATGATCGACTTTATTGTGCAAAAGTGTCCTATATTGGTAGGGTCATATATACCCTGGAATTCATAAATGGTTGAAATGCCTCCTTAAAAATGACATAATAATTACATGTGTCACAATCACGATGTACTCCAATGGCGAAGAGATCTGATTTTACCTCCACTTTCCTTATCACCCATATGGCGGTATTTCCATATGAATTTGTTGCAACGATAGTGCCATACAGCAAATGTGTTGCAAATGAGAACTACTTGAGTTGTCACACATGTCAGTACTAACAGTGAAAATGTTGCTGGGTTTTTCTAAAATTGGCGCAAGGCTTTCAACTAAATACAGTATCATAAATGTGTCAGAAGTTGAAGTGCCCCCATAGTATAAAAGTCTTGTTTATATGCTTTATGGTAAAAGGCTTTTAGTTTTTTGTGACCAGTGGTATTCATACCCTGACAGGTACTTGTTTCACAGGCATTCTGTGAATTAAGAGATTCCACTTTCCCAAATAATCATATCGGTATCGGCAATTCTATATTATTATTATTATTATTATTATTATTTAAAAATATAAAGTAATGTTTAGAAAACATGTATACACATTTATGGAGTAAAATTGGCCATACATTGAGCGAATTTTGCCTGGTTCATCAGGAAATTTGAGCCATGGGTCACAGGTGTCCCTGTCTGCAAACCCCCTCCAAACTGGACAAAAATAGATTTTTTTTTCAATCAGCTTCTTTTCGAAGAAGCCTCTTAGAAAATGTTCAGCCAAATAGCGCCTGCAGCTAATCGGATGCCGGCACTAACCAGTGCTAGAGCAGTGGCCGCTGATTACAGTAGCTGGCAGCGGGAGATTCATTCTTCAAGCTGTTTAACATGGATGAAGAAATCACTGTAATCTTTTTGGGCTGTATGAGAAAAAAACTTTTATTAGTTTATGGCCAACTTTAAATCTCAATCCACATGTATGGATAATGCATGTCTTTTTCAAAGGTGTGCCGCAGTGCCAATTCATACTCATGGACACTCCTGGGTACCTAGCCCAGCATTTCCAATATTTTTTTCAGCCTTGGCACCCTTTAAAAGTATGCAAAATCATGAGGCGCCCTAGTCTTAAATGTGATGGATTTTAAGGGGGAACCCCATGCAAAACTACAAAAAAGTCCCCCCATTCACATCAGAGTCCTCCACTTTAACATCACAGTACCCCTTCACCACAGGTACCCCCTCTCACAATACGAGCATACTCTTTCACATTAAAGTACCCCTTCACATTATAAGCTTTACTTTTCATCAGAAGCCCCCCTTCACATCTTTAGCCTTCTTCACATCAGGAGGAATTTGAGGCACCCTTGAGGAAACCAGAAGGTGCCACGGCACCTTGGTTGAGAAAGGCTGACCTAGCCAATGCGAATGTGCTGAATTGCACCAGAATGCTTGAAAGGCATGCACTTTTGTGGGATTTTGTTTACGTCGTCAGCCCGTTCATTTGATGCAATGCATGTTGACACTTGTAAAAATGCCTTGCTGCAGCGGATAAATGTGAACAGGGGCTCAGAGGTTCCTACAATAAGCAAGCATACCAGGAAAACATTGTCTGTATATTGTTTAATAAAGTTGGGAAAGCGCCGAGGTCTATATCCATAGTAAATGTCTGCTGTGCATTTGGCTCATTGTCTGCAGCGGGGAAAGATTTATAGTGATGTTATTAGGAAAATGAGAACCTTTTGCAGTACCAGACTTGTGAGGTAACACATTGTTTCATTTTATTAACACTTTAGCTGATTTTTTGTGTGGCAAATAGTGTGATTGTGGTATCTGCTGCTGCTTTCATTTCTCACATAGCGGGATGTTGTTTCCATGGCAACTTAAAGCTTTTCATTCGATTGGCTGTCTGGAAAGCGGGGGGCATCACTGAGTGATATGGGGGCCAAGCCATGTCTGCTCTTTATTTAAAAGTAAATATATATATTTGGAACGCTGTTCTGTACATGTTCTGAGCAGCATGTATTTATAGCAGACCAGAGACACAGCAGCGACTTGGGACATTGCAGCATAGTGTATCAATGGAATCTGGGATATGATTTATTAATTGTACAGGTTAAATAGGTAAACAGTTCTTATCAAAGTCTGTTTTTTTTGGTTTTCTGTTTTAAAATTTACGTGTACATATTTTATAGTGAAAATGGGCATCAAGGCTTTGACTACTGAAATCAGGCTACATCCCAAGAGAGACATAAACATATGAAAGAGCCCAGGGAAAAAGATTAAATATGGATAAGAAGGGCAGAGATGAAATAAAAATGCAGATGCTTAATGAAGGCAAATGCTAAGAACCTTTTTAGTATGCGCTATGGTCAGTCCATCAACATAATGTTTACCTACGCTGCGGACAAGTTCCTTGTTTGGTAGCCAGTCGGTGCAATATAGCACAAGGTCAGTCTGTGCCTGCACAGTCATTAATAGAACAGGCTCAGATATGTTATATGATCGTTTTATTAACACTTGTAGTGGGGTTACCCCCGCATTGCAAGGGTTAACTGCTCGTTTTGGTCTAGGGAGGAAACTAACAAAGTTATACTCACCCGATCCTCAGAGCTGGCTGTTGGACCAGTTCCTGGAGCCTGGCTCCCCCTCTGCCCCAGCGGTCTAAGGTCTGTAAGTCGTCATGTTCTATTCACGGTGTGTAGGATGTGAAGACATACTGTACTATCGCTGCAGTTAAGGGGAGACAGGCTGGAGGGAGCACTGTCACAGCCGAGGGACCGAGGATCGGATGAGTATATCTTTGTTATTTTCCTTCCTAGACCAAAATGAACACTTTACTCTTGCAGTTACCATTTGAATGAATGGGGGAAAAGAAAGACTTGTCCAGGGATGAGTAAACTTGTAAAACCTGTTTAAAGTCATGTGGAGGTGCTATCCTGCTATCCATGCGTGTACTCTGCAATGTTAAATAGAGAACACATCAAAAAGGTTCCATACTGCTCTCTCCGTTTTATAAAACATAAAATGCTGGTGCAGTGTAGAGTATTGCCAGCTATGTCCTGTGGTCTTAATAAATGGGCCCCTTGGAGGCACAATCCAGCCTCAGAAAGATTACTGTTCTGAAAGATCTTTCCATAATAACAAACACTTGATTTGCCTTTACGTACATGTTTATTGCTGAGAAATAGGAATTGCAGGAAGACATCCCAAGTGACTGTTAGAAAAATTGGCACAATCAATCTCTGTTTCCACTGAAAAGTAAAACAAAGACCTTTGTTTTACAAAGTCTAGTGTTTTATATCATTTTGTGGGGTCTCTTTTATAAATGTGTTCACACAAGATTCTCACAACTTTGATTCGAGATTCATATATTTTTCTAGGGGATTCCAAGGAGAAAATGGTGGACGTGTGTGAACATTTTTGTAAATAGACCCCTATGTGTTCTGCATGTATTTTGTTCAAGTGTGATTATTTAATTAGCTCTGTTCTTTGGTTTCAGGCACAGATTTCCCTTCACCTGGGTGGCTCTCGGGTTCATTGTGGCATTCTTCAGCGGCTTCACCCAGTGGCAGAAGTAGCCACACTCGGAGACACAGCATTACATCTGACAGTGGAGATACAGGGATTGGAACCTCCTGTTCAGACAGCCTGGAAGGTGAGTGCACCCTTCTCTTCTTTGTTAGGCTGCATGTGTTCACGGTTATATGGCCACATAAAGTGACAATTCTTGTAGTTTTTAAGTAGATCCTGCAGTTTTTTTATTTTTCTGTTTTTATAAAGGATATTAAACCTTTATTTTTCTCCAGTTCTTTAGGCTGAGCTCTGAATTTACTTGATGGGTAAATAGTTTCATAAGGCGTTGTTTTCGTAATTGAGATTGTATATAAGCATGGTGAAAAGGATTCAGTTTTGGTGTATTTAGAGACCCAAATTGCAGATCAGCCATTCCCAACCAGGATTCCTCAATAGGTGGCGCGGGGTTCCTTGAACCGTGGTTGACTGACCTCCCATGTGATGGTGCCTGCATTGTTCTAGGGACAACACAATTTGGCAAATCCTGCCAAATTCTAACAGTTATTGTGGTTTTCATTTGGGGAACTCCATTCCATAATCAAACGTTAAATGAAAACAATTTCAAATGACAGTCGCCAAGTCTCTGATGGCATTATTGAACTTTCCGATGGGATTTTTCGTAGGAACGTTCATTAGAAAATCTACCCTTGTATACCATATTTAGGAATTGCATTCTTTCTACTGACCACCACTGTAAGGTAATATTTTTTTCTACTGACCACCACTGCACTGTAAGGGTGGCATTCTTTCTACTGACCATCACTGTAATGGTAGCATTCTTTCTACTGACCACTACTGTAAGGGTAGTATTTTTTTTCCTACTGACCACTACTGTAAGGGTAGTATTTTTTCCTACTGACCACCACTGTAAGGGTAGTATTTTTTTTTCTACTGACCACCACTGTAAGGGTAGTATTTTCTCTACTGACCACCACTGCAAGGGTTGCATTAATTTTACTGACTACCACTGTAAGTGGCATTATTCCCATTTGACCTTTGATGATTTGAATTCAGTAAGGGATCCGAAGACTTGAAAATATATTAGGGGTTCCTCTGGAGCAAAATAGGTTAAGAAAAGCTCATGTAGGTACATGAGATGGTAGCTGTTACCCGAGAGTTTCATTTCTATTTGGCTCCATTATATTGACTTGGATGCTATAGGACAGATGTTATATGCAGAATTACCAGGCAGCTTCTAGAAGAAAAACAAGTTACACTATAGAGGACCTCTATTGATTTTTAAAGAACAAGTGTTCGCCTTGAACTTACAGTCCATATTTGTATTAGTACCATCTTTTCGGTATTTGCAGTGACCCATTGTGCAATATCTTGCTCTTTTTCGTCTTCAGCTGCATTTGTAATGCAAGTTACGTTTGGATGATTTGTGTACAGCTAATACAGAGAGAAAAGTACCACAGAGGTTTTAGAAACCTTTTTTTTGTCTGTTAAACTGAGGCTTCCTGTTAGCGTAGGTCACAGGAAACGCTGTTCTTGTTCAGTAGCGTGTTATGATTGCAGTTTCCTAGCTCCATATCTCGAGAAGGCTGAACTTTACAAATGCCCCCTGCTTGTCTTTGTGTATTATGGAAATGTGACAAGACTGGAATCTGTTTACAGAGCACATTTATGTAAGTTTTGATGTTAAAACATGGTGTGGTTTCACGTAATGATTGGAATTTTTTGAAGAGAGATTCAATTGTGTATACATGGCAGTAGTTCTTGTGAAAGTGTTAAGCTGGCCATACACTGCTTGTTGCTTCGAGTTGTGTGTGGCACTGTCAACATCACCCGGCTCAACAAGAGTCAATTTTTCAATCGACTTTTGTCGACTTTTGTTGACAGAGCCAGGTGGAAAATTGAAGCCAATCAGCTACTGTCAGTGTTCGATTATTTAAACAGCTATGGGTGTCCCTCTGCTGAATACAATAGCTGGCCGGGGAAATTCCTCCATCCATGCCGTTTATTGTGAACGGGGGGGGAGCTGGGGGGGTCGATTGATTGATTGCTCTCACTGGACTGAATGATCGGACTCTAAAGCTGTATGGCCAGCTTTATTAATGTAACAGTGGGAGCAAAGAGCTGACAATATAGGCTCAGCATGTGTCTGTGCCAGCTTCCCTCAACCAGGGTGCCACGGCACATTGGTGTGCTTTCTGGCTTTCTCAGGGGTGCCTCAAAATGTTGTGGTACTGGGACTGTGATGTGAATGGGGGAATGAACATTCATGTGAAGCAACTTCTTCTGCTATGAAAGGGAGAGCTCTGATATGAAATTGGGCTATTATTGCAAAGGATGGCTCTGATGTGAAGGGGAGGGAATCTTGATTTGAAGGGGGCACTTTAGTATGAAGAGGAAACCCCACTTTTTTGTCTGTTTTTTGCATGGGGTCCCCCTTTTAAAACCATTACATTTTAAACTGGGGTGCCTTGGCAATGCTTATCTAGGCACACTTACCTTACCGTAGCAATTTAAAATGTGTTAAATGTTGTTTAATTGAACTTGAACTTAAAAGCATGGATTCTAGTTAGGGACACTTCCTCTGCTTTGTTTGTACTAATGAACCTTCCCGATTTGTGTATTGGGTGTTTCCAATGTACTGCCTTGCATTACTGCAGATATCATCCCTGTTCAGACATCGTTAAATGCATACCTATATGTGATGGTTTCCAGGTAGTTGCTGTGCAAAGTAATTCAGTGTTGCCCATTTCTATTTCTGCGTGGTAACTTATTCTTAAATTATTTTCTACTAGTGTTTATATATTCCTTCCGACATGTTGTAGGAACAAGGATTTCTGGTTCTGCAGCTAAATGAATGCTGGTGTTTACAGTTAAACATTCACCTTAATGTGATAAGGAATGTATAGAGAAATGATGGTGGGCAAAGTGCATCAAGCAAGCAGTTTCCAGTTCCTCGTACTGGGATCAATTTCCAGATGATTTACAAAGAGGGGATTATAGGATAGCTATGCTGTGCTTTCCATCTTTTGGTTTCTGCATTGCCCTTTCGGCACGGATGGACAAATCCCAAGGGCCAGGTAGCCAATGCTTCTTTAAAATCTACAGCTGCTGCCTAACCATTGAGTTTTTCTCTAGTTGTTGTCCATGGAGCGGACTCAAAGAAAAAATTATCTTGGCTCCTAGAGTGGACAAAAGGGCTTCTGAATTCCATATTCATTCGTCCATCCCTGAAAGTAAGTCTCTGAAAATCACTGGTGAACACCAAGCATGGTCTCCCATTTTCATTGAGAATAAGGACTAAGAAGTATAATGAATTTAGTCCCGACTTGATATTACTTCAAGCAGAATTGTAGGCATGTATTTTTTCATCCATTCAATAAGAAAATGTTTAATGTAATTTTAAATACATTTTATATTATATCCTCCTGGAATTCCCTGTTCTGTAGAAATGAGACTGGGAAAGGATGGAGCAGTACTGTAGGCCAATCAGACTTAGTACATGGCACAGTGAACAGGGAGTGGATAGGATGGTAGAACATCGGGAGGCTTCTTTACAGGCTGGGTTGGTTCTTGTCCACTGTATCTTTGCTAGAGAAAAGTGTGGTTAGAATCTGCTTTTGTTGTCTAATAGGGATCTAACTGGCTGAATGACGTGCTTATAGGTGGATAGTAAAGTTCAGACTTGTACACAAACTGGGTTTTTGTCTGTATTTCTATTTCGAAGCTTGACTATGGCCAAGCTAAATACACAGTTGAGGCCCATATATGTGAACTTTTTTTCCTGCCAAAAGTTTTTGGTCATTTTCAGCCACCTTTGTGATTCTGTCATCCCTGCTGCATTGCATAGCTTGGTGACCCTTACTTTTCTGTAGTTGTTAGATTCCACTGCTGTACTTATCTGCACTTGTCTGCCGATTTTTAACAATAAAGGTGCAGCACCACATTGTTCTTCTCCCCAGAACCCAGATATGATCACGACGGGGGGCAGAGGATTCATTGCATAGCACAGCACTTTAGAAGGGTACACTTGAAAGGTAAATGTGCCATAATGTGTATACCATGCACACTTTGCATACTACACAAATACCCCACAGAGAATGCAAACCGTTTACTACTACTATAATAGATAAATGCATTTGCTCACACCTATTAAGAGAAGGAGTTGGGCTGCTGTTGTTGTACTTCTTTATAAATTACTAGTTGCCTGACTGTGTCTGGTCACAGGGCCAGAACAAACCATGCAGCAAATGAAAGTCAGAGGCAAGTTAAGCTGGGTATACACTTGTCTAATTATTTTTTTTTCTTTCAACCTGTGGTCTGAATGAAAAAAAAATACAACAGGTTCCTCCATCAATGCTTATGAGCATTGATCGAGGAATCCCCTTCTGTTTTATATTGTATTCTGACAACGGCCGCCGACCATTATCGGAGTACCCTAGCAGAACCTTCAGCTGATTGGCTGTTTACTTCATTTGGCTGAGAATATTCCGATCGGCTCCTTCGATCAGCTGATCGAGGGATGCCGGGCAGAATGGGGCCGACAATGACACCCACGCAGGGAATTTCGGATTTTCGCTGTGTGTATAGCCTACTTAGGAATTTCTCATCTCTACATATACTGTAAATTGTGGTTCACCTACTTAGCCAGGTAACTCGCATTTTCAGTAGGCGAGGTTATGAAATAAATATTTATCTTGTGGCAGGTTTCATTTAAAAGGTATTAAAGTGCATCGAGTTTGGCTATCAGATGTTTAATTCTACTAAATAATATTATATGACTATTGTATTTTTGTAGTGACAATAAAATACCCACTTGGATCTTTAGGTATTACGTAAGTGTAAAATCTGGGCTGCCAGTCATTCCCCCTCCTCTGTACACTATTTGAATGCCTAGACAGGAAGCCGTTCTGTGGTAGGGATGTTTTTTTTTTTCTTTTCTGATCCGCACTTATACCAAGATATTGCACTGATGATGTAAAAACTAGAATGGGACATCCTGTGTGCTGTAAAATGGCTCCCTCGGCATTCTGTTTCAAGTGAAATCCGGAGAGCTCATTGATTCATGAATAATTCAGGAAAGTAGTGGAAGCTTACAGGGATTTGAGACCGGTTATTCCATGGATA